CAACAACAACATTCTCCTTCTGCTGCTCAAAGGACAGTGAACTAGCTGCAACAGAGGTTTTTAACACCCCTCCTTAACTTCCGGAAGCACTCCTGTTTCACGTAACACCGACACAATAGAGGTTTTTATAGTGCTTTTTAGCCTCTTATCGCCAACAACTTCCACCGAGAAATGTTCCGCAATAACGAGCAGCTGCTCCATTGAGAAATGTTCAAGGGCTTCCTGAGAGGGAGCACTGATAAACGCGTCTACCTCCGCCATACTACAACGCAACACCGAGCTTACAGTGAGACAAAAGAGAGAAAAGAAAAAAAACTGATTGGAGTTTCCCCACTAACTACGACACCCGCTAACTAATCTCCTCCCTGGTCTTCATGTGGTTACTTGCGGCGGGTACTTATGCACTAAAGACCGCTGGCCGAGCAAAGCGACTAGCAAGCTAGCAAAAATACTGCGACCACGGCCATGCCCCCAAACCGAGGTTTCAGCCACTTTCACCACAACATTAACACCCCGCACAACGGTCCCAAGGGAACCGTCGCTACCACCTATCAGGAGAAACCCCACACAAAACAACAAACTAACTCACACGCACCCAAGCTTATCTTACCGGTTTGGACGAGCCCCCAGCTGTCACGGCTTGGCTCTCAGCCATAACAAACGCAGCGATGAGACGACGACGTGAGTATGGAAAAAAGAGGAGTTTATTCACGCTCCCCAAAACAACCGACCACCAAACAGGGTTAACAAGCTCTATGCAGGAGGATAGCTGTTCCGGGCTGCTCTTCCTCCTACGTTCCCCCCGGGCAGAGAGAGAGCCACTGCAGCCTACTTAGATCCTTTATAGAGGCGCTGATCAGATTGGGAGCACCTGGAGAGAGGCTGCACCTGGATACAATCAGGGAGAGAGAAGCACACACACCCACACACAGGCACACCCACACCAGCATAGGCAGTGAAGCAGGGGTCGTCACACTATTTTGATCTAATCCCTTCTGATTTAATCAAGCATTTGTAGGGATAGATTGTCTTATTGTGGCAGAACTTTGGGTTGTTATTTTGCATTGTGATACTGTTAATCTGTGCAGTGGGAAACATTAATATTGGTGTTTCAGTAATAAATGTAATGGGCATTATTCTTTTTGCATTTAAATTAACTTCAGGTTGTTGTTTTATTTTATTTTTTGCGATTTTCTAAAACTATTGCAAAGTAAAAAGCGATGGAAATGTCCTTACTTATTTTTCTATATTATCGGGTTACTAATTTCTATATATATTATTTCCTGTTCATGCAGCTTGTAGCCTGGGTAGTAATTTCCAGAATGGACTGAGCTGACACCCTGACAATCACTGTTTTACTCAGCAAGGTAAGAGTCCTCTAATAATTTATACTTTTGCTGTGCACACTACAGGTTTTCATTGAAAAAATAAATTCAAATTGCAAATAATAGCTAGACAGCTCCAGACAGGCATTGGAAAAATAACAAAAATACAAATACATATTTTGAAAACTTTGGCATTTCAAAATGGATGGCACCGATATTGTATCGTTTCCTGTTAAAAACACAGAGGATGTTGATTTCTTATACACAAACTTCAAAAACATTATACTATAAATTAAAGTATAGTGCACACTGTGTATACAGTTAATAGGTACAATAAAATTGGCACACAATCTAGGCTCTGTTCAGTCAATATTTATGTTCTTGTAAATATGCTGTCTGCTGACACTGCTGGCTGTTTATGCCGCTCTTGTGTTGTTATTGCTGCTCTTTTGCATGTACACCGTTGCAGTGGTATCAATTCTGATTTCATTTGTTTCTCTGAATGAGCTAATTTTCCTCTGGCTGTGGTTTGGCACGTGGTTTATTACGCTTTAATGAGTTTTTTTTTTTTGCTGTGTTCAATTATGATAAGGATAAGTATGTCTGAGTAGTGAGTTTTATGGGCTCGATAGGCTTTGCATTCTAGTCCCCTCACTTGTTTGGTGTTGTTGTTGTTTTGTAATCAGCCCTGAAACTAAGAATAATACGTTATGTTTGCTCCAGGGATGTAAACACCAGTGTTTGTTGTTGCCATATAGTTATTTTCTGTAATATTTAGACAATATTCACAGTTCTTCATCATATTGTTCACTTAATTCTGAAGCAAATGTTCTTGTCTGTGTAGCTTGGAACGATGTTACTTCACTCTTAAAAGACCCTAGTCACTTATCACTTGAATAAGGTCTTATTGCTTATGTTAAGATGCATATCAAGAGTTTATGATTTGGCTCTGTTAATCTGCTTCTCGTTGATTATTCATGCTGCTGTTTATATGCAGGATATTTGTGTTATTTGGTATTCATTTTAAGTGAATCTTCTTTTGCTTGTTGTTTTGCACAAATGTGATGATGGATTTTGTGATTTTTTCTCGTTTGCTCTATTTTATACACTTCACCCATGTGATTTACATTTTTTATTTTAGTTATTTACTCAGCTACTGTACTTAAATACTTTTTTGCCATACTTTAATTCAACTTTTTGCTACTTTTTAATTCTAGTCCACTACATTTTTAGAACATTTATGGTCCTTCTTTGGTCATTGCTACATGTATTTAACAAAAATAGTTACCAGCTACTGTTTACACATAAAACACATTACAATTATATGATTATACTGCAGTATGGTACTACAAATATATTTAAAACAAATCTAAAATGTTCTTAATACTAACAAACTAGAACATTTAAATGATCTTACATGTATTAGTAAACAATTAAATAAGGAATCATTTAATATTCTATAACAATATAATACTTTCAACACAGCCATGGTGCATAATGGGTTCTTTTACTTTTGATGGGGGGGGACCCAAGTTTCCATAAGCAAAAACACGTGGGTTTGCTATCCTGGCTCCAAAATGGTGGAATGAGCTCCCCATTGAAATCAGGACAGCAGACAGCTTACACATCTTCCGGCGCAGACTGAAAACTCATCTCTTTCGACTCCACTTCGAGCGATAGAATTACTAACAAAGCACTTATATACTAATAAAGGACTGGCTTATCTTAAAGCCAGTTGAATAGCACTTGAAATGTTTTAGCTCTATGAAACCTGATGTACTTATATGATTCTGTTTTCTTCTAGTTTGTATCTTGTTGGTCGAATGCACTAAGTCGCTTTGGATAAAAGCGTCAGCTAAATGCAATGTAATGTAATGATACTTTAAGTACATTTAACTGGCAATACTTCTAATTAGGTAACATTTTGAATTCAGGATTTTTAGAACAAAGTATTACTACTTTTACTTAAGTAAAGGATCTAAATACCTATTCCACCACTGCATCTCAGCTGGTTCTGTGTCACAAACCATCTGAGTAGCCATCATTGGAAACTGTTTAGAAAAGGGAAGGCACTTTCAAAAATACTTGGCAGGTGATTGAATGAAGCATTTTTTCAATCACATTCTTGCCAAAGCTTATTAGGGAGGAGAAGTTCTGATATAACTGATGCTATTGCAGCATCTACGCTAACCTCTCTAGGAGCCGCTACCATTGTTTCACAATAACTGTCTTCTCTCTTTGTCGCATCACAAACACCTTAAACAACGCCGTTCCTGCCAGTAGCTCTTTGCATATATTTGTGTGTGGTCTTGTGATCCTGTAATTCTAGCATAATGTTGTGCTTTTACGAAAATCCACCTGCCAATCAAGGTAATGGCACTTGCTTTAGGGATTAAAAAAAACCTGTCCATTGTCTTAGTCAAAGACCCATTTCTTCTTTGATAATTTACGAAATGTCTCCCTGCTGCCATCCTCAGAGGACTGAATCAAGAGTCAAGTACACTGAAGGAACTGGAACGTTGACTTAAACACCTCTCACCTTAACTCTAAGCATTGGAGACATTGTTAAACTCAATTCATCATGTTTGTGTGTCAGCTTGCTTTACTGTTAATCATCTAATCATAAATGTAACGAAGCTGCTTAGCCACCTTTTTATTATTTACACTTCTGCTCCATTTCCAATCTAGAGCCATGTACTGATGCTCATCTGCTGCTTATCAACACAACATCATCATTTCTAAAAAGAGTTTGTCTTATTAAAAACAATTTTTTTTTATTTGTTATGTGCATAACTTAATAATTATATGCTGCTTTTCTGGATTGTGCTTGCTTTCTGCTGCGTGTCAAGTGAATTGGTGGGTGCAGATGTATCTATCCCATATCACTATAGGCTATTACTTTTAATGGCTAAAAGCACTCTGTTGAAGCACATAGTGCCCACGGTCTCAATTTCATCTTTGAACTTAAACCATATTCACATAATCATCCGTTCTGTGAGAGTTGGCAGATTGAAGTAATAGATTGTGTGTATAGTGGAGAGCCACATTCATTATATCACTGACTCTATGATGTGAGAACATGTTTAACATATAGATTGAGATGACAGACGGTTCCAAAAGGCCCTTGAGATGACCTTGTTCTTTATTAAAGGGTAGTGTAACAATGATAATACATGTGATACTTTAATGGTTTTCCCTTATTAAAATCCCGCTCAAATTACATGAAAACCTCAGAGCAACTGTGTGGCCGTGGACTTAGAAAATTCATGGGTGGCATGTCAGTGGTTTGATCACAAATATATCTTAATAATTTATCTCTCAATTTAAATGGTGGGTATTGGAATGATTTTTAAAAGAAAAAGAGAAGAAATAAATGTCTCAAGTTGTATTTAGTTTGAGAGGCTACAGTATATTGCCTCTCATAAATCTTTCACATAGCAACACAGATTAAAAAAATCCTTTAACAATCAACAGGCTAAATTCTTATGTATTAAATACTTTTCAACAGAGCCTTTTCTTTTATAAGTATTTTTCAGTTTAGTTTACAAAGCCCCAGCTTGTCAATGTCTTCTCCTTAACATTTAGTTCCCAGGGTATTATTGCACTGATAATTGAGAGCAAACACTCTCAAATACACTATTGGTGTAGAGTTACATTTTTGCTTTAACCAGAGACTGAGTGGAGAACCCCCAGGCATGCCCCTCAGTAGAGGGGCTCAGTTTGAGAGCCTAGTGGAGGTTCAGTAAGTATAGGGGCTCAGACCTCAGACTCCAGGCTGGATACCCTGCCCCAGGGCTTTGGCACATAGGGACTGTTGACTCTGCGCGCCACCAACACCTGCCTCCGCTCTCTGCTCCCAGAGCCTGGGGTTTCCCTCTTCCCTGAACCATCGTAGGGCCCAAACATATTGTTGTGGTAAACCACCTGCCTGTCGCTCATACGAGGCATCATTGCTGCGTTATCCGGGCAGTGACTTGTACAGGGAAACAAGTGACACATGTCCTTGGAACTGCCATAGAACTGGGGCGGTCCCTGGGCAAGTGGCCCTACATACACCGGTAAGTCTGTGTACGAGTTCAGGTAGGTGGAGTAGTGTCTGTGCACCACTGTGGAGGAGGAGCGGCGCAGGGCAGCGGCATTCTGCAGGATGGCTTCCCTGTAAGAGGGCAGCCGGGTGGACTCACAGTACTTGAGCTTCTGCTTGTAGGGGTAGGATCCCATGTGTGCCGGGTCCAAGTAAGCAGGCTCAGCAGCCAAGGGGTAGCAGGACAAGTTGTGCCCCAGACTGCCATATAGCTTGTGGGGCTTTGGGTTGGCCACTACCACCCGAGGAAAAAGGTCAGGCATGTCTACACGGGCGGAGGAAGCAGATGTTGAGGGCTTTGTTTCATCTACCTGATGGATCCTGTCGTTGCCCCATGTTGCTTTGAGGAATGAGGCCCGACGGTTGAGTTTGTCCTTCCCCAGGAGTGGTACGTCTTCCATTTCAGGCTCCAGATAGGACTTCATACAGGAGTTGCAACTTGTGCTGGTGCCTGGATAATGTCCCGCAGTGCAGCCACTGGCAGCACCCACAGGGGCATGGTTGTTAAGGAGGTGATTGGCCCTCAACTCAGCAAGGCAGGACCGAGGTTCATCGTAGTCAGCTCTGGCTCTGGGATCTGCAGCATCAAACACATAGCTATGGGTCCGCCTCTTCCGGCTCACACAGTCAGGGGGGTAGCTGAACTTCCTCCTCAGTGGTCCTCTATCTACGTAGATATTGGGCACCTGGAACTCTCTGTAAGGAACAAAAGGTGACGGGGGGTGCCGGGCCGGGTTTTCCACATACAGCCTGCTGCTGTGGTGGGGGTTAGAAGTACCAGGGGTAACAGGGTCCCGAATGGCGATGTGAGGACTGCTGAGGCTGGAGATGGGCAGAGTCCTCTCTAAGACATGCTGACTGTTGCGGCTGGGAAGCGTATATCGCAGCGGGGTGGGTCGGGTCACCACTCTGGGCTTCTCCAGGAGTGGCTGGGTGGAGGAGTCCCCATAATGAATTGGAAACGTGGGTGTGAGGGCTCTCTGAGGGTATTGTGAGTGGTTGTCTGAGATGCTGGAGATATACGGCAGACGACAATGAGCCATGTCTGTGGTTGTAACTCTAGGTGGCAGGCCAACCCGAACATTGTCGCCCCCCCGCCTGCTCCAGTGCTCTATTGTTTTGGTGGCATTGTCTAGAGAGTTCTCCACTCTGGCAGAGGACACCATGTCCTTGGCTGTCTTCAGCATTTTTAGCATATTGGCTTGTGTATAGTTGGTAGTGACGTCCGGAGTCTGCAAGCTCCCATTGTGGTCAGTGTGCTCTACTCCACTGAAGCAGCTGTAGATGCCCTGTAAAGTAACACATGGTGAAATTATTATCTTAAAGAGGAATATGCTATCATATTTGTATTGTTCTAGTGTGACATTTTTGACATGCTTTAATGTTCAAAGAGTGCCTTATTTTTCTCATACTGCCTGTGCTGCAGCACCACTTTTCACCCTCTCTCGTGAAAAGAGCCCAATGTGCTCTGATTGGTCAGTTGGAACGCTATCGAATCGCAGGTGTTAAATAGTTATGTCATTATGTTGCAGAAGAAAACAAAGGATTCCGAGGTGTTTCAGAAAGGGGTGGGGGGAGTGTGTAGGAGAGAAGTTCCCCCTGGAGTGAACTTTAGGATTTTAACATTTGCAGATAATTTGCACGAACAAAAACCTATAGAAAACACTACAGAAAAAGGAAAACCCCAAGAAGCATAATAGGGTCTCTTTAAAGCCAAATCAGATGCCAGAGTCCACCAACAATCTACAAAACTCTCAAAAGGCTTTCAATCATGTTTTGCTGCAGGCACAGTGATCTTTTTATTGAAGTTTCAGAAAACAGCTGTTCTTAACAAGTGACTAAAAAAACTACTGAATATCATCACAACAACACGAGTACACATTTAGATTCGCCGTGGTAATGAGCAGCCATGCGACCGTGTTGTAGTTTGTTTATAGCTTTTTATAACTGCCGATTTTACACTGAAAAAAATCACAAAGTGGTGTTAATATAGGGATATTATCCTACTGAACAAAAAGTGTTACGTATCACAAAGGTGTGTTTGCCACAGCGCTTATTTTTTGTTTCAAGGGACCCCTTGCGATTCTAACTTCCGTGTCGGCCTACATAAATACATTGTCACTGCATGACTCTATTATATGAAGATAATGAGGGCATTACATAAACTGTAAGAATGACTTACTCTGCTGATAGCTAAAAGGAAGTCCAGGCGCTCTGATTCGCGGACTGAATGTCGTAGTTTCCAGTAGAGCAGATGTTCCCAGGAGAAAACCAGCAGGCTCAGGCCCATGGCCACAAGCAGCATGTAGAAGACCCCCGCCATGTTGTCAATGTCCAGCTTGCTGCTCATCACCTCTTTCTTCTCATTACGGCAGATGCCTGTGAGCCAGACGGTCTGCAGCTTCTGAGTGTCGCCTGTGAGTGAGGAGCACAGTCTTATTTCATGGGATAATGAAATCCTTTCAAAAATAAACAGCACCCAACATTCAACTGGATGAGGTTTTACAGTTTTCCTGCTTGATTTAGTGAATCCCAGACCAATCCTCATCACTTTCTTATAATATATATATTTTTAAGGAGACAGCAGTTGTTTGTCCTAAAGCAAAGCAAATAATAGCTGCCCGAAATGTTTCAGCTTGTGATACCTTAAAGGGTACCTATCATGAAAAATGCACTTTTGTACGTCTTTTATAGATGAATGTGTCCCCGGTGTGTCAGGGAACTCACCAAGTGTCAGAAAACACAACCCTCTCTCTTTTCCTCCATACCCAAATCTCTAAAAACGGGGCTGCAACAGATCTGATACAGACTGATACAGATTTGAAATTGTGAAAACGGGGTGCTCTGCCTATATGGACAACTCTCCACCTATCAGGGGAATGAGAGGTTGCGTGGCATGCTAACAGCATGGTAACAGTATGGTAACAGCATGGTAACATGACGCTCGTGCCTCGGCGAGGTCAGCTGCAGCTCATTTGCCTCAGAATCAGCCCTTGTGAAGACAGGGCTGGAATAGAGCAAATAGAGCAAAATGAGGCATGGCTAAAATGCATGATCTGTTTGGTATTTTGAAAAAAAAACTTCACAGACATGTTTTATATAGGTATGGCCCTACAATATATTATTCAAATATAGCATGATAGGTCCACTTTAAAGGTGGTGTAAGTAATTAACTTCAGAAACAATTTTTGTTATAATCCATGGAATGCTCTTAACATCCCGAGAGCAATGAATTCATTAAATGCTTTGACAATAAATACATTAAAAAAAGTCATCTGTGGAAGCCGTGGTGCTGTAAAAAGCACGACCAATTATTTTAGCCGGCCCGGCTAAAATAACTGGACGGCCTACCTGCCTGTCAGCCTTCCATCTGTGCACAAACTTATCTCGTGCCCTCATTGGTCATGTGCACGTTCTTGTGTGTTGGAGGAGGGGCTCTGTAAAGAAGTCTGAAGGAAGGGGCAGATTTGTTCCGGTTGTGTACTTTCAAATTCTAGCGCACTTGAGCTGGTTTCTCCATTCTTACCTACCCTACCTTTAAACAAAACTATACAGTTTTGTCTAATTGCATCTCATTGAACCCAGTTACATGTGTATGCTGTTCCATGTTTATTGACATACATAGGAAAGGTCAACATATCTGGCAAGTTGCAACATTCTCAATGATATGACTTTGCAGCTGAAAGTAATAATTTCAAAGCCTTGAGTAAGGCCTCTCAGTTCAACATGATGTGCATTGGGCTGTATTATTAGTCTTGTCTTATGCTGCATAATTCTTCTAAAAGAAACCAGTGATTTGCCCTAGGCTTTGAAATAATTCGCCCAAGGAGCGGCAGAGCAGTGTCACATTTTGAATCACTTCTTGGAACTTAGTTTTGTTGACATGCGCTTATGGCATGTCTCCAATTTGGATGAGTTTTACTATAATAATATTGTTTATCCTTGTAGCCCTGAGTGCTTTGTGAGTGTATGTACATTGGTTTAATGTAAGGTTAGGGTCATTGTCATAAATGTTGCACTGTTTTTATAAATATCTATTCTTATCCATTTATTCAATTTACTAAATGGTTATACCTCGATTATAGCAGTGCTGGTAATATTCTGTGAAATGTAATAATAATTGCACATATATGAATACTTTACCATCAGCCAGGAACTGGAGCAGGGCCAGATCAATTGGTCGTTTCCAGCGTGAGTCCTTCTGCAGGGCGATGCCATAACCAGTGGTGGCAAACACTTTCCCACTGCCAATGGTCACCAGCTTGCAACCCTCATCTTTGCCAGCCATGTAATTCAGCACAGCAGCATCGTAGATAAAGGCATCCAGTTTCCTAGCAGGAAGAGAAATGGGCATTTTGTAACTGTTTGCACCGCTTTGGCTTGCAGTTCTTCTGTAAATATATTTTTACAAGCATTGGCTGACACCTACCCTGTTTTGAGGCTGTTCAGGGCATCCTCTACTCCCTTCTGGTTGTATTTGACCATGTGGGAGTGCATCTCGGGGTAGTTACTCCTTATGTTGCGCTCTGTGCTTCCATTTGGGACCGTACCAAAGCGGAACGGAGGGTACTGCTCCTGTGGCTTTTGAAACTGTTGAGAGAGGTAAAATGTCAAAACATGTTTTTGAAATCGATTTATAAAAGTTACATTTTCTATAATTTAGTAGTAGCGTATGTTACGTGCCGTGTTGTGTTTGTGTGTGTCTCCCTCCTGGTAGGGCTGTCCCGAATACCATTTTTCGGACTATATTCGGTAGTAATCAGCAGCGAATATTCGTTCCGCGTGGAGGGGGGGGGGGTGCGTAGTAATCAACAGCGAACCGCTTCAACGCGAGTATTTCGATTTATTCACGGCATTCTTTTTGTTATTTTACAGTATTGTTGTTTTGTTTTATTTGTTAATGTATACAACCCAATTTGTGTTCTTTGGAATTGAAAAGGATATTACATTGTGTTTGTTACTTTCGTTGCAGTTGTATGTCTTAAGTGTAATTTGGCTTGGCTTCCTATTTTGTATTTCTATTTTGAAGGAGAGTTAGCGCTGTTGACAGGAAGTTGTTGTTGCTATGGAAACAATGTGACGGAGATTAACGGAGAAAAAGTCATATCTACATATAAAGACGGAGAAAGTAAACGATAACGTTTATGGTTAAGTGTTAGCACCCCCCGAAGAGGCACAAGCTCTTACGTTGATATATGTCTTAATGTCTTTCCTTTGTTGTAAAGCACTTTGAAATGCCTTGTGTTGAAAAGTGCTATATAAATAAACTTGCCTTGCCTTGCCTTGCCTTGCCTTGATATTGGAGATTTCAATCAATTCAAATTGGCAGCCGCAGCGCGATAAAAAAAAAACGATATCTGAATAACGAAATTGAAACCCGAATAGTACTCCAACTAACGAATATTCGGGTACAGCCCTATCTGCCACTTTATATATAACAAATGAAAGCATAGAGAGATAAATGAAACCCACATGCCAAGCCAACAGCATTGACCAAAACCCTACCAAGCTCTTACAACATGTAAGCAAATGTGTCAAATACAGGGTTCTTACACCTTTTCCAAAGTCAAATTCAAGCACTTTTCAAGCATTTTCAAGGTGCATTTTCAAGCTTTTCAAGCAGCGTACAGCTGTTGTAAATTACATATTTAT